TCTCGGTATTTTATTCGAGACATATAATTCGACTTATTGAATAATTATGTTGCATGCGTGCTTTCGATAATTCGCCCTTGAAAATAAAAAAAAAAAAAGAAATAGAACGGGGATAACGAGTTGAGAAAATGAAGGATATAAATTACAAGGATAGAAATAAATAGTCGAATTAAAAGTATACATAAAAAAGAAATGACAGAAAAAAAAACAACCAGCACAGTATCAAAGAAAGAAATAGGGTGGGTGTGTGGTTGTTGGTTTGTGGTGAAAACAAATGAAAATTAAAAAAAATTAAAGATTAAAAAAAGAAAACAGGATGAAATAAATAAAGAAAGAGAAAGAAAGAATTATAGTAAGTATAAATAAAACCATGAGATGCGTGACGCTACCTGAATGATAGCGTTTCTCGTTGTGCGTGACACGACGTTGCGTGCGTCGTGCACGTGGTTGTGGTCGTCCTCCTCCTCCACCAACACCACCACCACCACCTCCTCCTCCTCTTCCATAATTTGTCCTTTCGAGTCCTCCACCAACACCACCCAAACCCCCTCCGCCTCCACCACCACCACCACCATTACCACCAATGTCGCCACCATTGCCAGATATGCCGCCATTTCCAGCCCCTACGAAGTCATACGCGAAAAATGTCTACTACAAAATTCTACACCATCATCTTCTAACTACCCCTCCCCCAGACCCCATTTTATTTTTGCTATACTCGTGTGTGTGTGTGTGTGTGTTTTTTTTTACGCCCACGCGTTCCAATTCTCTCGAGAAGGTTAGACGTTTTTAATTATTGTAATTTTTCATGGGGTGGATGATGATGATGATGATGATGATGATGGTATTTATTGGATCAATAATTTTATTGAATTATTAAACAAACTTGGAATTAGTTTGCGAGTCTAAAAAATACTTGATTATTTATAATAATATTATATTTTCCATAGATTTTGTGAAAAGGTTTTACTAATGATAATGTTGATCGAATAAATACGAGTATTGTTCTTTGTTTTTTTTTTCTTTTTGAGTCAACTATACAATCATGATTATTACGATTTTATCTAATCTTAATCCCTTATTTCAAGTTGCAATAAATTTTAAAACATTCCTTTTACGTTTCATATTTACAATACCTATATATGTAAGAGAGTTACTATTCACGTTTAACTATAATTGTTATTAGTATAACGGTACGGTCTAATAGCGTCGTCAAGTTTTATGAAACGAACGTCAAACTTGTCTGACATCTTTAACGAATTTAATGCTCGACAGGTATTATTATTAATTTTTATTGAATAGATTTTCTACTATAAATGTTTTCTTAGATTCCATTGAATCAATAAATAAAATAACACGATCTAACAAGGGGACCCATAGATTTAAAAGAGCTTTGGTATATTGGTAGTATAATATTAGGGTGTTATCATGGTAAAATGTTTTAGCTTAAAAACGAATTTAATTTAGAAAATAAATTATTATAATCATATTTTTCTCTAGAACATTATTTTTTTAAAAGTAACATTTCAAGGACTAGAAAAATGATACGAAATGATAATTATAATATTACGAAAATGATAATAATAAATTGTTGTTTATGACGTATATTATTAGATGATAAACGTGACCAAAAAAAAAGTAACTTGTTGACGGTCAACAATTTGTTTGTTTGTGTGTGTGTCTATAAAAATTTATTCTACACGATAGTATTTTATATTATATAAATAAAAGGAAAAATCAAATATATTTTCGATAATAGAAAATCATTATAACAAGTTCGATTCGCATTAAAAACGACGACAACGGCAGATGCACCACGTCGCGTATTACGATTGGATAACGCGGAAACGACACTTCCGCGTGCAGGTACAGTTAAATTCTGCACGGTGCAACCGATTGCACGTAAAGTGATGAGGTATAGTAAACTTTGTAGTCGAACACTATCTCCACATGATTAACTATGAATAAATAAATTGATATATTATTTGTTTTAAAGAGAGAACGATATCGATACCTTCACACAAATTATAAATAATTTTTTATTAAAATAAACACGTGTATAAAAGTAGTAATAATAATAATAATAATTTATACAATTAATTATTAACCCATTGAATGCTTTTAAATAGAATTAAACTGTTTCGTAGGGTAATACAAAATAATTTATTTATATAATTAAAATATTAAACATGTTTAATAATTATGTGTTTAATCATTTAAATTTTTCTTTTTAAAATATAACTATGATAAAATAATAATCAATACACTGAAAAAACGTTACATTATATATGCATACATATTGACAAACGCATATTATGCATTCGTAGTACTCAAAAGGGTTAACAAAAGAAAGTTTTTCCATGGATTATAAAAAAGAAATAATTCCAAGGCTAACGATTGTATCGAGAAGTTAACAATTGTTTTGTCGAATAATCGAGATAAACGAGAGATTCATCATCGTTCAATTGCATAATCCAATTGTGCGCGGTGAGTATATTAAGGTGTTACGAAGATGCAACAATAATAATAAATAAAAATTGTACGAAACTAATGCACACATTTGAAAGATCACGCTTAGTTTTCTTACTTCCATTCTTTTTTTTACCCTCCCACATACTTCTTTATTATTATTATTATTTTCTTTATATTTTTCATTGAATTTCGCTTGTTTTTTTCTCATCATTAGAATTATACTAACGACGATTGCATCTACCATTGTGTGCACGCGCGTATCGTAAACCAACCAACTAACAAACCAACCAACCAACAAACCAACCAACCAACCAACTAAACCAGCCAACCAAACCAACCAACTCGTTTAACATAAATGTATCCCAAGTATGTAACTAATGTACGCGCATGTAACGTGTAAATTCGTTAACAAATGTATTCGTGTGTGTGTGTTTGTATTTGTGTCTCTTGAGAATCGGAACACGATTAATATTGCTCGCGACGAAACTCGTTGCGTATGGATGGCGCAATCCAAGGTATGATCATCGTATGGTAGTTAGGTATACAACACGTTTGGAGGACAGGAAGGTAGAAACGATATTATATGCTGTTACAATCCGACACGGAAAAGAAATTGAAAGCGTTACACCATCGTAATTAATATCAAATACAATCGAGGACGTTACGGAAGGATCCTCCTTATTATTTTTTTATTTTGTTTTTTGACAAAGTTATATATACAAGAAAACAAATTATTTCATTAATCAAAAAGAAATAATAAAAAAAAGAGATAAATTAATTTAAAAATATATATGTATATATATATATTTTAAATATTCAATCCTTTTATAATACGATATATTAAAAACAACAATTATTATCTTGTGATTTAATTTTTGTTTGTTTTAATATAAGGAATCAATCGTGTTTTATAGGAGGATTGAAAATGATATTAAAATTTATTAGCTAAATTTGATATAGTCGAATCAACATTCCAGTCCCTATTCGTGTCCTCCATATTATTATTGCAATTTATTAACTATGATTAAGCTCATATATATATGTATATGATTATTATGTTATAATGATAAATATTCAAATGAAGCGTAATGAAATAATATATAACAACTTACCGAGTTGTTTAGATGCATATTGTTGCAGCAGACGTGTCCGTTTCTTTTCATAGCCCTTTTGAGTTATGTCTCCTGTAAAATAAAAAATGATAAAAAAGAAAAGAAAATAAAAGTAAAGAAAAAATAAAAAAAAATAAAAAAATTTAAACCTTATAATTAGGTATCTAATTATAATAAATTACACACACACACATCTATCTATCTATCTCACTCACCCAGATTTATTATTATTATTATATTTAATAATTAATCGGTCATAATTATATTGTATTAAAAAAAAAAAAAGAAGTAGAAGGATTAACTTTTTGATATTACGAATTTCTCACACGTGGGGTAAATGTCACGTACGTCATTTTTTCTTTCTTTTCTATTCAGAAGAGTGTTTCAAGGACGTAGTAGTCGGTTCAAACGCATAGCGTTTGCTTTAAGAGGCGAAAATTGCGGGTCTCGATTTGCGGGGCCCCATTAAAAGGGAGAGAACAGAAAAAAGTGAGACGAGAACTAGAGGTTGTTGCACACACATATATATATATATATATGCATGTAGTATGTGCATACCTATATCGTGTTCGGTTAAACGAGGTCGTACCAACGACACTAGGCGTTGAATACAGGGAAAAGTAAAAAAGAAAAAAAAAAAAAAAGGTGAGGGAACAATAAAGACAGTGCCGACATATATGGGTACCTGCATTGAACGATCTAACTTAAAAGCTTTATCCTGAGAGTTAAAAAGAGACGCTCGAGGGAATAATTAAATGAAATTTTAATGGGACCCCTAAGAGAGAGAAAGAGAGAGGAAGAATTCACCCTATTCTATCGACGAATATTTTTCACGTCTCTTTCAGAAAAAAAAAATATTCAAACACAAATATGTGTATATAGATAGGTTGATAGATAAGTAGATAAAAAGATATATCTATACGTTAGATCGAAATTGAAGAATGTCAAGATTTAACATGGTCAACAACACACATACCAAAGTATGTTAAAGAAAGATAGAAGATAATTTGAAAGTTTATTCTTATAGAGTAATATTTTATGTAAATATACCTAAACTAACTATGTGTATCTTGACATTATATATATATATATATATCTATTAAAAATACAGTAATATATAAAAATGTATGTGAATAAATAGATAAGTATATATTTTCTTTATTTTATCTACCCATCTATTTATCTAACTATTTATCTATATATATTCACCTATCTCATTCTATCTACGTTAGTAGTGTATATCTCTATAGGGTGGTCTGATATTATAATTTCTAAATTTCCATAGTAGTCTCATAGACTATGCATTATATTTATCCACGTGGCAGTTAACATACTACTAGGATGCAAAACGGGTCTTGGCATGGTTAAAGTCACGCCTGGTAACTCGAGAAAATACTTCGAATCGATCGGTTAACGGCCGAGACACGATTTTTTCTTTTTTTTTCTTTTTTGTTTTCCCAACTGCATCAAAGTGAGATGAAATAAATGAAACTGGGTCTCAGCATACATACGCACAACACACACACTGTAATTAGAAATTAACGAATCTCTATTTATTCCGTGGATGCAAATCTTACCAACGATTAACGAGCTTTCAACAAACAATTATCTGAATTCTATTATCTCCATTTATAGTAATTATTTCATTATAGTAAAACCGTTAATCGGTTAGATCACATAAACGTTAAGGAAAAACCATCATTAACGCGTTCTTCAAATTTTCTTCCATTTATTTGTAACAATTTGTCAAGGGAAACTTCTAGTTCTTTTTATATATGTATATATTTGCCATTGAATTATTTTAAAATGTTTAGTATTAACCGATAATTTTCATAATTATCTAGTTACGTATCTATTACGTTACGAAGGAAAAACTTTGAATATGTGTATCAAGAACACGTTAATTAAACGTCATGTGTGTTGTTTTTTAACTATAGTAGATAAACTATCTATATACGATATAGAATTATTATTCGATTTTAATTAAAAGGTTTTTTTAGTAAACAAGAAAATATATAAAATATATCTTCTTGAAAAGATTGTGCAAGGATTAAAAAAAAAAAAAAGGTTTTACTTCTTGTCGAACAGAAACAAATATTCGTAATATCTTAAAAAAAAAAAGATGTGTAGACCTACGATAAAAAAAAATAAACCTGTTAACATTTTCAAAGATAACGACAAACGCGCAAAGTCATTCTCGAACAATTTTATCGGTTAGATTTCGATAATTTTCTTGCACGAAACGCGTTTAATATTTATCAAGAGATTTAACAATATATGTGTGTGTGTGTGTGTGTGTGTGTAAGTGTATGCGATTTCTTACTGGGTCGTTTTCTCAAGGACGAACATTTGCGAACAAGAAAAACGGGCTGGCCAGATGCACGACGGAGTTGAGATTTTCTTCTTAAAGGTCGTCTTCTCGGTCCAGATTTTTGTCGTTTGAGATGTTGCTGACGTTGTTGAAAAAGATAATCGTCTTCGTCTATGTCTATGTCTATGTCATCGTCATCATCATCATCATCATCATCATCATCGTCAACGTCGTCTACGTCACGTCGAACAGATTCATTTTCACTGTCGGTAGAACTAAAATATCTGTAATAGGATTTACTATCCTTTCTAGATCTTTCTTTGATAATAATACGTGGTCTATTATCATTGGACGAAGAATTTTTAGCAAGATAATTAATAAATTGACTGCTAGTAAAATAATTGTCCGTACTTATTGTAGAAAATGATGATGGTTTCCAAATATTTGTTCTCCCCAACAAACAACCACCACCACCACCATTTTTATTATTATTACCATTACCACTACCACCACCAAAACCAGCAGCAGCACGGTTTCTTAATTCTTCGGAAAATAATTTGTCCTCATTGAAGTCGCTTATTTTTGGTGCCGGACAAACCGACGAGGAGGATGACGTAATCGAGAACGAACCTAACGAGGAGGAAACGAGAGAATTGAACGTCTCGTCTCTCCTCTCGTTAAAGTCACCGGATAGTAATAATTTTTGATCGTCGAATTGATCGTCCGATAAATTATTCGACGAATAATAATCGTCGAATTTTTCTAAAATCAATGCATCCTCATCGTCATCATTATCATTGTCATCATTATTATCATTATTATTATCATTTTCTTCTTTTTCCTGTTCAGGAAAGTAACGAATTTCTCGCCAGACACGTCTTTGACGTCTCAAACGTCTCCTTTCAGGTGGCACGAACCAAACCGGACTGTTTTCTCTTACAACTGACCCCACACCTGCAACCCCTGCCACCCCTGTTACTCCCGACACCCCCGTTCCTCCTATTGCAACAGCATCTTCATTATTTTTTTTGTTTTTTTGTGATGTCGTTGTCGTTGTAGTTGTTGTTGTTCGTTGCAACGATGTCCTCTTTCCACGTTTTCTCGAACTCGATCTCCTTTGGCAACTGGTCCTCTTAAAATAACCTTCGGTACTGACACTCGGTGATGGCTTTGACGATGTTTTTCTTCTGAAGAATCCATTCCTCGTACTTCTGAAGCGATTACACGTCAATTTTTTCATCTAATTTCTCACGATTTTTTCTAATTCAACACATATCGAAAGTGTTAACGTTGAAATTAACCACAGAAAGAAAATAATATATATATAAAACAGAATTATTATAATATTTCGAATACTTTATTGTTTTATGATATTTTAATATTATTATTACTTATGATTTGATTTATTTTATCACTTTTAAAAATTAAAATCAAAAATGTGTTACATTTATTTAGAAATTAACCTAAGTCCATTTTCTTTTACGTTACATTTATGTTACATCGAAACTTTTTATAATTATAAATAAAAATATATTAATATCTTTCTCTCTCTTCAATTTTATTTTTTTTTTCTTTTCTGTCTGTCTGTCAATTTCATCGGAAACAACACACATCGATATAAGATATTAAATCTAGAAAAAAAATATTCTAAGAATAATAACCCTGCCCTGAAGTCAGCCAGTTTGGTGAACCTAAGTGAGAACCCAAACGATGATGACGAGGAAGTGTTGTCCTTGACGATGGTTTTTTCCGGAGCGGAGACGGTTCTAGCAACTGTTGGTTGACTTGCTTTTCTTTCTTTCAATGCACTGTCCAAAGAATGATGGACGGAGGGTCCGGAAGAGGAAGGATACGGTACCGGTACAGCATCCCTCCAAACTCGTCCAAGACTAATACTAACACTGGGTGGTCCAGTTTCGAGAGGTACACAGGTATCTCGTATTTGTCCATGATTATCTAGTTGATGTAGATTTTTATCCGAATAAATCCAATCGTCGTTGTCGTTGTTAGTAATAATAGTAGTAGTAGTATTATTATTAGTGGTGGTGGTAGTAGTAGTAGTAGTAGGACCAAAAGGTTTCAAAGATAAAATAGCTGAGTTTAAATCATCGGTAAGATCGTTTGTACTCGAACGACGATCTTGAATTAATTGTTTACTCGTAATCTTAGTTTTATTTATTATTTCTTTGACTACCACTTTATCCTGATGAAGTTTTTCACGTGATGATGAACCAACACCTTGCAACCATTCATCGTAACTGATTGATTCAACGCGATTCAACGAAACGTTTTCTTGTTGTCTTTTAATTTCCTGCTGCTGTTGTTGTTGTTGTTGTTGATCCTTGATCTTAATTTTATTCTGTATTTTATTTTCTTGAAGATCCGGCACGGTTTTAGTAGTAATAGCAGGTGGTGGTGGTGGTTGTGATTGTGGTGTTGGTGAAACTACCACACACGGTTGAGCCGTTATCACTGGGTCTAAATTTTTTTGCAATTTGTTACGACGTTTGCCACGATCTAGATAACTTTTCCTAATCGATATCCTTTTAAACGATTCGCTACGTTTGAAGGAGGGCTCGTTACGATCCTTCTTACGGCTCACGAGCCTCCTAAGGTTTTCGAAGGAAAGTGGCCTCATGGGGGGTGGACAATTGGCACCTATTTTTATATATAACCAATGTTGAATAATTATTTTTTCTTTCGTGTTTTTTTTTTTTAATTATCGAATAAATCGAAATGTTTAGTCAATTTTTCTAAGATTATCCAACAGGTATCCTTTTGAACTAAGAGACGTTACTTTGCCTGAAGCACAACGAGTCCTTTTTCTTCCTACTCGTTCTCTTCTTCTTCTTCTTCTTCTTCGTCCTTTTCTCCAATCTCTTCTTCCCCACCTCTTTCCCTCAGAAACCCTTCTCAACTCTCGTACAGAGAGTTTCTGCTATCCTAAGGTGCAACGCCGAGGTCTTCCAGTCGCGAAACACCATGGCTTTCCTTTTTCAATGCTGTATCTACCTCTCCTCCACCACCTTCTTCTTCCATCTCTCTTTCTATGATAATCATTATTCGTTTGAACTTTTTTTTAAATAATTTGTCTCTCATTAATGTGGAGAATATATTTTGATTAAATGAAATATTTTATCTCCTGACTCGTTTACCTTTTTTCTTTTTTCTTTTCAACAATTATCATTATTATTATAACTTTATTACACTTTTTTATCATTTAATAAAAAAAAACACACTAATTAGATAATTATTAATATATATCTAAGATATAGAAATATTATTTCTCTTAAATAAGATCATCCTTGGTTAATCTTCGATCGTTTGTCTCGAGGACGAATTTAATTCGAGCCACGCCGGCCAACCAACCAACCAACCAACCAACCAACCAACCAACTTATTTCCAAAGTGGACACCACCATCAACACACACACACACACTTTAACGTGTACTGATATTTTCACGCGTAAAGTATATACACGAAGAGCGTGGGTTCCTTTAGTGCGCGCGCAATCACGTATAATACAACAACAGAGACACAAACACACATATATATGAGAGAGAAAGAATGAGAAAGAAAATGATAAGTTTAAACCAAGCAAGTTTTACAAGATCGTAGCCACCATAGTCATCGTAATCGTTCACAAAATAAAAAAATCAACAACACAAAAAAACCAATATATATATATATATATCTATATATCTATACACGGAATGATAATTTAATTGAAAAAAAAAAAAAAAACAAACGTTTCACTATAGAATATATTAAACGTTCGTAGAGAGAAACGATACGCTCACTTGAAGTCGCATCGAATCACTGGCATTTTGCGAGCTCTAACGCGATGCACCTCTCCTCTTACAACGTATAACGAGAAATAAGAAGCGCTCTCTCGAGTTAGAGAAAGAAAAAGAGAAAGAAAGAGAAAGAGAAAGAAAGAGAGAGAGAGAATTCTCTGTGGGAAGGCGGCCCCCGTGAATAAGTCACGATCCTATGAGAGAAAGAAAGAACGAGATATGGTGAAAGAGAAGGAAAGGGACACACTAACAGAAAAAGAGAGAAAGAGAGAGAGAGAAATATATTGAGTGAGTTAGTAACTGTGTATGTGTATGTGTGTATAAAAGAGTGAGAGAGAATATGGAAGAGGCAAGGAGTGTATTTACTGGTACTGGTTGGTTGTACTTATGGTGGTAGTAGTATACTTGTCTTGTATTTATAATGGTGTTAGTATGGTTGTGTTGTATTTATGGTGGTAGTAGTGGTGGTGGTATGCGGTCCGTCCACTCTCGCCCGCCGACTACTCTCTTGCACCTCACAGCATCCCCCCCTGTCCCACCCCCTTCTTCTACCTTCCCTTCTCCCCCCTCACCACTCAGTCACTATACTACGGCCCGTTCCTTCTATTCGTACCAGAGTGTGTGGGTCTTATTCTCTTTCTTACACACTCCTAGTTTATAGAATATCTTTATTTATTTATTTATTTAGTTATTTATTTATTTTGTGAACTTTTCCAACTTCTTATTATTTCTTTCTATGTGTGTTCACTCATAAAAGTAACTTTTTCTTCCCCCCCCCCTCATCATTTCAATACGAAATCAATTCGGAAAATAATTCAATTATTTAATTAAGTAATGTTTTATCTTATTAATTTTATAAAACAATTATGTTAGGGATAATAATGATCGATTATTATTATTAATACACGGTGTGTTTAAATTATATTCAGAAAGGAGATAGCAATGATTGAAAATAATGATTGTATATATATATATATGGTGTTCGATAAACAAAAAGATTGCGATTATGAATCGAATACGAAGGACGAGAAGAAGATTTAACGATCCGACGAATGACTCTCTTCTCTTCTCTTCTATTTTTCTTGAAGAAAATTTCAACGAAATTAGCCTTTAACACACACATATAGAGACAAGTACAGACACAGACACAAACTAACAACTCTCGACACCAAGGTTTTCTTCTATTCCTATACCTCTACCTTTTACTATGGGTTCTCTTATACTACTATAGGCTTTGAACAGCTTTGAACACTTTTGCCGTCGTTATCGCTTCCTTATTCCATCAGGAACGCGATGTTACCTCTTCTTACGACTTCCGTTTAACTTCGAAAGACAGACTTCAACTTTTATAGAACCGTTAGTCTTGCTTTTACTGATTAAAAAAAAAGAAAAAGAAACAATAAACGGGGGAAAGAAAAATTTGTTTTGTTTTTCCCCCTTCGAATTTTTCACGAAAGAAATATAAATGAGAAAAAGAATAATTGAAGTAATTAATTATCTCTATAAATTTGTAAACAAAACTTTTTACAAAAGAAAATATTTTAAATATATAATTATAAAAAATAATTGTCATCAATTGTTACCTATGTGATCGGATTATTATTATTAATTATAATGTTAATATAATAAATTTTCTTATCCAAAATTTTTCTAATATTATTACTAAGTTTAATCTTAGGGATATTTTTTTGGAAAAAAAAAAAAAATATTAGTTGCTGAGGAAGTCCCAAATATAGGGACGAAACGTTCAACTGATAAATAGATTGTTCATCTAATTTAAACCTGTCCAAAAAAATATCCCTAAGATTAAACTTAGTAATAATTAATTATAATATTTTAGGATTATGTTTGTTTTAAAAATGGATATATATATTTCGCGTGTGTATATGGAATGATTAATTTGTTATAAATTAAAAATAAATGATTATTATCATTATCATTGTTATTTTCGACAAATGAGAAGAGTGGTACTCCTGCCCACGTTCAATCGTCTTTTTCAAGAGAAGTCAGAACACTCAGAATGCGATTACTCGAAGTAGGCGGATACGTAATGTGGCCATCGAGGAAAGTTGAGTTTCGACAGAGTTCAGATTCCATGGAACAAAGCTCTCCAGAGACGGCCCCCATGGTCAAGCTCTCGCTTATGGCAATAGTTTCGATCCGTCGTCTGTGTCGTCACTATACTCGAACCTTTTTTTTCTTTTTATTTCTCATTTCTTTTTCCCTATCGTTCATTTTTCTTTTAAAAGGGCATTACACTTATCGATTCCCTTTAACTATATAGCAGACATATTAAATTCTTTCACACGAAGAAAAACTTGTATAAACTTTGATGAAATAATATTTTTCTTTTATCGGACGTAGTGTTATCCTTTTATGGGGAAAGAATCGAAGAGAGAATTTAAAATGATTTTTTTTTATATATATAGAATTTGAATATTGTTTTAATATCGTATCTTTTAAAAATTTGTTGATAGAAGATAAATTATTAAAGTGTACGATAAAGTATTGAAACAATTCTCATTTCTTTTTAGTTTTTATATCTTTCTAACTTTTTAGTAAATTTATTATAATACTATATGATCAATTTTTCTAATAATTATATATTTGAACATTTATTATATTGATTTTTAAATATACTTCAAAACTTTTCCTATATATATGATTTAATAAATCAAATATCCAATACGATAAGAGAAATCCTATCTCGATGTTGCATAACACGTAAAAGGTATTCCCAAAAAGTTTCCTTCACTATATCTCCAACATGAAAAATAATACTGTTATCTTATGGAGTAATATAAATGATTGACTTTAAATCGAAGATAAGATTCTATATATACTATCGAATTAAAAAATATTGAAAAAAACATTCAAATCGAAAATATATTTTTAAAAATTTCCAACTAAACGATCAATTCATTAAATTAAGAAGAATAAAATCAAATAATTGTGTGTTATGAAAACAATCATGAATATATTTTCAATAGGATAAGTAATTTAAATCATTTTCAAAACTATTATATAACAATTATTTTTGTTCAACCATAAGTAATAAACAACAATCAATTCATTACATTAAAAACAATTAAAATCAAATAATAGTGCATTTGAAAACAATCATGAATATTTTCAACAGGATAAATAATTTAAATCATTTTCAAAACTATTATATAACAATTATTTTAGTTCAACAATAAATAATGATACTGAACAATCTGATCAATCAAAGGTAAAGAATAAACAAAATTTGAAATGTGTGTTGTCGAGGTAGGGGTAAGTTTCTTTTGATGGTATGAAACTGAAAATAAGAAATAAGGAAAAGAATGGGTGATGGGTGATGGAAGGAAAAGGGGGATGGTAAGGGAGGGTAAAAGGAGATTATTAATTCGAGCGTGCAAGTCTCTTGATCGAAACTCAGCTCGTCGAGCACGCAACCCTCTTAAGAGGAAAGCTCGACTCCTGGGTCGAGGCTATCGAGTGCATTCCTCTGCAACTCTCGACAACTTTGTAAGGGTGACGTATATATACCCATACATATATATATACATACGTTAAATACATGCGTATACAACACTTATATACACATTCATTCATTCGGATATAAATATAACTGTAGTACTTAAAATTATTCCCATAATAGGAACACAAAAATATTTCGGTTGGCCACTAAGTCAAAAGAAATATTTTATTCGAATATATTTCATATATATATACATATGCAATATTTTATTAAATGTAATATATATTTAACCAAAATATAATTCATTAAAAATGAACAATACTTTACTTACTAATCAATATATTACCAGGTATAATATACTTGTATGAATATTCAAATTCTTTACCATAAATGCATTTATATAACATATAACACAGATATCATTAGCAAAAGAAATAAGGAACGAAAGAAAAAGAGAGAATGTGTAAAAAGGGATAGAGTATAGGGACCATATACGGGGTGGAATAAATGTTTGGGAAAGGTGTGGGGGTGGTAATGGATTTTAAGAAAAAAATAAAAGAAGATGAGGTGAGAGATCAGTGCAGAGAAAGATGCAATGCATAAGCCGGTGCATAATCATCATTATGATCATGATCATCATTTCAAGGAGACTCGAGGACGTTTACCCACAAAACCAACGACCTTGATCTTACAAACGATTCGTGAAGCAATAGGTGGAGAACCAACCAGGAACGAACGAAGTATGCGAACAGAACAGAACAGAACAGAAACAGGTAAAAGTCAAATAAAAAGGATATTTGCTGCAACGTTTGAGTAGTATT